ACATTGAAAAGTATCAAACCCAAAGAGATACGTAACATTCAGCACAAGATACTACAAATTTTTCTTCTTTTTTTGGTTTTTTTTTTCTGCTTTTTCTCCCCAAATCCCCCCAGTACAAATTTGCATATTTTAGTTGTGAGTCCCTCTAGTTGTGGCATATGGGATGCCACCTCAGTATGACCTCATGAGTGGTGCCACGTCCGTGCCCAGGATCCGAACCGGTGAAACCCTGGGCCACCCAAGCTGAGTGGGCGAACTTAACCACTCAGCCACTGGGCCGGCCCCCGAAATTTTTCTTCTTGACTACAGCTAAAACACATATTAATCTTATAATTAAGAATTTCAAAAGAATAATTGTTAGAAGTTACTACTGGAGCAGGAAAACATCACTAAAAAGAACTTCGTTTCACCAAGGATGGGGTCTAAGAACCAAAGGAATAAAAATCAATGAAAAGGGAGAAGGGACACATAAGTACACAGCAGAGGAGAGAGACACTTAAATTTAATAAAGGTTAAAGCAGGAGATACAAATCTTAAAGGATGCTTTTGGTTTTCCCTCATCTTTAGTGAAATTCACTCCTGATGCTGTGGGAAAAATGTAGAATTTTCCACTGATTCTTTACAAATTTTGTGGATTTACACATGCTCAGTGATAGGTCATGTGCAATAAAAGTTGCATGCACCTAATTACCTTACTACTTTTTTCCTTCTTTTACTATTATTCCACAGCAATTTTAGTATTATTGTGTGGATTTTTTTCTTTAAGAAATAAACAGATGGAGAGAATATATTAAAAGGCAGCTTTTCCTGTAATACCAGAATGACTCACTGTCAGTGCTGGCTTACTGAAGTAGGATCACAAGAGAAAAGTTACCAACAGTTCGGTGTCATGCCTTGGCTGTTTCTTCACTTGCAAAGTCACCAGTCAGTGCCATATTATTTGACTTTAAATTTGCAAGATTGTCTCGCATTTCAGAGAATGCATTGTCCTTTAAGTTGGACACATACACATAAGAAGGACTTCCTAATTCATTATCAACTCAGATGCTTTAAAAGACACTGAGTTTGGAAAAAGAGTAGCAGTGAAACAATAAAGCGGCAAGAACTGAGCTTCTCCCATGAACCTGATTTGAGAGGGTGAAGAATTGTCACAGAAGTGACTTTTTAAGTCTTTCTGTTTTTAAGAGCATATATATTTTTTCACTACTCAGTTTTCCATTTTTATGTCTCTTTGCAATGTTCACTCTCAAATATTTCTTTTTGCATTAACCTTCCTATTCTTTCCTGATGCAAACTTCCATAGACTCACAAATACTGAAATCTAACAGGCACCAGTCCACTCTTCAGGATGCTGTATATCTTCAGGTGTTGTATTTACCTACCCTCTTGGGATGGTTATGTTCACTTCAAGCTCTTAGTTCTTTTAGCATCCCTCTGAACAAGAAATTATGTTTTGGCACAACCCAAGAATTTATGGGGTGCATTGAAAATTGGCTTAAGTTTATCATAAGTCTTTTTACTCTAACCTTGCAAGAGGTTCAAAAGCAACTTCTTAGTCTCAGGTACAATGCTGACAAAATCAAGTAATTCAAGTACCAAAAGAGTGAGGTGCATTGTATAATTAACATACTACAAACCAGTAAGTTCTAAGATAATTATCAAGGGAACTATTGTTTTAGCAATTTCACTAGAGAGGGAAATATTTCTAAACTGATGTCAAACTTCTCTTTGCCTTCTCAGCACTTCCAGTCCATGATGACATGGAAAAATGCCTCTTGAATATGTATGAATAAAGTAAAAACATTTCATCCAAAAATTAAGAATAACAAATGATTTATTTTATATAGCTGTCATATTTTCTCTTTCTTTCCGACTTACATTACCTATATATTACACGTATAATGCTATTTAATATTTTCTTTCATACTGAAATATGTAATATACTTTCACATTAAAATATATCATATTGAAATATATTTTGATATCAGATTGGCATTTTTATATTGGCAGACTGCTAAAATCTCCAGCATTCCCTGTTTATATAAAGCTTTAGAAAATTAATATTTAACACCTTTATTTATTTCAAAAGTGATGATTAAGAGAAGTTTGTCAGAATTTCTGTCAACTTCCAAATTCTTATATTAGTCATTTGATATACAAAGGATTTTGCATTTTTAAAATATATTCTTCCTTGAACATCTATGTTTATTGCAGTACTATTCACAATAGCCAAGATGTGGAAGCAAACTAAATGTGCATCAATGGAGGAAAGGATAAAGAAAATGTGGTACATACAATGAAATATTTTTCATCCTTAAAAAAGTAGAAAATCCTGTCATATACTATAACATGGATGAACCTTGAGGACCATACGCTAAGTGAAATAAACTAATAACAAAATATAGTCTTCATTTATAAATAAATTATTACTTTAATAGATTAAATTTTTCTGGCTCATTCACTCTATTGTTTCTATGAGAAATTAATTAAAATAGTGAAATTGTCAAAGTATGACATGATATCAAAACGTGACACCTTGGCCTAGAAATTCAGATCATTGGCAAACTTCACCAAAGGTCAATACACAATACACTTTTTTTACTTCTAAAACTTGTTTATTTCCATCATCTAACTACAAATTTTATGCTGAGTACCATTATTATTGATTCTTTCTCTTTAGTTAATCTGATTTCAATCATGAAAATGTAAACTGCAGGAAAACACATTGTCTAAAAGTATTCTTAACATTTAGCAATTACAAAATAATATAAATTTAGATGCTTAATAAGCAAAAAAAAAAGAATAAATGGCTGTCTGCACATGTGCAATGATTATTTTAGCTTGTGTGACTGAAGTCATAATAATGATAATATTAATAAATATGCTTATGTTTATTTTTAATACTTTGAAATTCATTTTTTCTCAGTTTGCCTTTCTTTTGGGTAGAACAAGATGATGATTTTGTAGAAATTGTAGCAGAATTCTTCTGTTTATTTGATGTAGAAAAGAAGAACCTTTAAAGAGGAATATATGATTGGGTTTTGACATAGAGACCAATTTCGAAAAATGTGCCTTCTTGATTAGATGTTTAACCATGGCTAAGTTATAACCAGTATGATTCCCTCCCCCGTCTCTCAAATTAAAAATGGAATAATGCTAAACTTAAAGGGCTCATCTGAGGTTTAAATGAGATAATAATCACATGTCTAACATGAAATTTATGTTTGTTTCTTTCTCTCCTTCCCAAAGTGCATATTTGATTTCATACTTTGGAACTCAGAACACAGTTGCTCATATAAAATGCAGAACAAGTATTGCTGCTTTTTATTTCAGACATTCACATAAGTAAAAGGTGATAAAAAGATTAGTATTACAACTATACAGACCACTATATAAAAACTACTGTTGTGCAAAATAATTTCCAGTTCATACACAGGATACCGGCTGTGTTCTATGTGGATCACTGTCTATATAATGTGGTAGTAGATAAATATTTATAAATATTAATAAATCATTAATTCCATACATTTGCCAAAGACTTCTTAATCAAACTCTTTGCGTTCAAATTTAATAATTATTTAACTCAAAAAAGTACCAATACAGCCATCCCAGACTCTGATTCTTAAAATATCCCTTTCCTTACACACTGTTGTTAAGTCAAGAGTTTTGTGAGTCTCTGGACTCACAAGCTGTATACAAAATTGGAATAAGGTCCATGAATCAATTTACCAAGTCATTAAGTCTAATAATCACAGTTTCAATTTTTATCATATAATTATTAATATGATTCTTAAATAATGTTAAATATTATCATTAATAATGCTAAGTAAAGATGTAGTATATTGTGAGTTTTGACATAGCCCTTTGCTAATTTGAACTATTTGGAGAATGCTAAGGATTGTGGAATAGAAAGAACCTGGGTCACTGAATGCAGACTTAGACCTCTAGACCCTTCCTAGGATGCCTACTCCCAGGCTGCTGTCACATGTGGAAATACACATGCGCTCTTTCATTCCCATGGCAAAATACACTTCCCTTCAGTATTCCTTATTCCAAAAATATCTGCGTCTACTTCTTCAGTCAAAATTCCTTTTCTGTATTCAAGCACTATATCAGTTAGCTATAGCCAAAAAAACACCCCTAAGTTCAATGGCTTAAAAAAACCCACAATCGCTTATTCTCATCCATCTGCAGATTTTCAGGCAGTTGGCTGATCTAGCCTAGCTAACGTGGATGGCTCTGCTGATTTCAGCAATAGTCAGTTTGCCTCTGGGGTTTGGTTGATCTAGGCTGTCTTCAGCTGGCTTGCCCAGGTTCTCCCCATGGCAATGGTAGAGGCTGTAAAAGAGCAAGATCAATTGCACAAGTGCATTTCAAATGTCTACTTGCGTTAGGTCTATTAACATTCTGTTTGTGTTATTGAAAATCCAAAGCTTAATCCATCATCAAAGAAGTGAGAAAGTTTCATCTCCCATGGAGGTAAAGGGAAGAAAGTGAATACTTCTGAGTGATAATCTAATCCTTCTTCAGAGGCATCATTAATCTGAGAAGCGGTTAAATTTGTAATTTGTGTGCAAAGGAGACAGCCTCAGAGCTCCAGGTGTTTCCAATAAGACCTCTGCTCTGGCTTGCATGCATCTGGGAGGAAAGAGGGGACCCAAACCTGTTGTGTGATCTTAGTGAGAACTTCTTACCACTCCCTGTATCTCTCTAATAGTCATCTGTTTTACTATCACAGTCTGATTGAGACCACAAGGGTTAATTTCATTTTTGCCTTTGTTGGGAGATTTTCCATTGATCTGTTGCGTTTCCACACATCTTGTGAGTAGAGACACTGATAACATTTGTTACAGACTATGTTTTCAAGAATGCTCCTAAGGCAAACAGCCTTGGAAGATAGATATTATGTTACTTTCTGGAGCAGAGCGAAGATACTTTTATTATCCAGTATAATGTTTTTTCAAGGGCAAATATCAGACAGGTTAACTTGTAGCCAAATATAAAGATTCAGTTTCTTTAAATTTAGTATATATTATCTGTGATACAAACACACTGCATGCATAGCTTTCACCGGGATCACTCTATATCACTCCCACAGGACTTGTGGGACAGGAGAAACCAACATGAATATGAAGTGCATGCTGCTTGCTGGACTGTAAGTAACAAAGTCCTTTCGTTCTGACATAGGAATCTAGTGTCTTCTGCCAACATTCATGAAAAATTTCAGAGCCTTCGCTCTCCATGATACTCTTTACTTTGGCTTATATGAATTATCAAGATAAACCAGGACTCCAAGGTTATTCCTGGTTCTCATTTCCTTAAAGCTCAGTACATATCCTTGCTTACCCATTCCCCATTCCTTTTGAGATCTTAAAACACTTCTCCTGTGCTCTTAGAAACACTCCTAGGCGACTGCAAACTTCATTGTATTCTGAACGCCATCTCTGAACATGCTCATTACCTTCTTACTCTGACCCCTATCTCTACCTTGAAGACACTGATTCTGTCAAGTAGAAACTGATTTTTTTACTCCCACAGCATGGAGCTAGAAGTAGAGTAAAGATATCCTTTTCTCATTGCTTCTTGCATTCAAATCTCCCTTTCTTCTTCCCCTTCGCAACTCCGAAAAAATCCCAGAGAAGTCAGTCTTAAGTCTCATGTCACCAATACTAACTGCTACCCCTTCTTTTTTAAAACCACTTGAGCTATCTTTTTAAAACAAATTAATTAAGGTATAATTTTCATATTATAAAATTCACTCATTTTAAGTGTACAATTCAATGACTTTTAGTAATCATTTGGTAAATTTTCTAGTTGGACAACCATAATCCAGTTTTAGAACATTTTCATCATTCCAATAAGATCCCTCATGCTATTTAATGGTTAATCTCCTTTCCTATCCCAGCCTCAGCCAACCACTAATCTATTTTCTGTCTCTATAGGTTTGCCTTTTCTAGACATTTCCCATAAATGGAATGATAGAATATGTGATCTTTCCTGTCTGTATTCTTACAATTAGCATAGCGTTCTTCAGGTTTATACATGTTGTAGAATGTCAGTATTTTATTCCTTTTTTATTGATGAATGGTGTTCCAACGCATAGATGTATACAGTTGATCAATTCACCAGTTTATGGACATTTGGGTTGTTTCCATATATTGGCTATTATGAGTAATTCTATGATCTACATTTGCCTTCAAGTCTTTATGTGGACATATGTTTTCATTTCTCTTACATAGAAACCTAGCAGTGGAACTGCTTGATAATATGGTAAATTTATGTTTAATATTTTAAGAAACTGTCAAACTATTTTTCAAAGTGGCTGTATCATTTCACCTTCCTGCAAGCAGTGTATGAGAGTTCCATTTCTTCACATCAACGTGTGTTATTCTCTCTCTCTTTTTTTTTATTGTACCCATTCAAGTGGGTATGAAACGGTATCTCATTGTGGTTTTAGTTACCTCTCCTTTTTGCAGTCATTTTCTAATCCAATTTACTTTCCCTCAATCTCTGTAGATTAGATTCTTACTCATTATAATTTTACTGAAAACTCTTCCTGTCATAATTCTTGGTGTTTGTAAGGAACAAAAAGATGCTTTTTTCAATAACGTGGTCTCTCAGTAACTAGAACACTTTTTCTCTAACAGCTTCATAAATTCAATTTCATTAATCTAACTTTGTATTTCTTGTCTATCCCAGCTTACCCCTTAAAGGGCTATAAACCTACTGTTTTTTGATGAGGGGTCGGTGATCCGAGGAGTCGAAAGAAAGATTTCTTAGACTCTTAAGATCTGGCAGTAGTGCTCTTTTATTTAGAGAATAGTATAGAATAGCATGGGGACAGGACCCATGGGCAGTCAGAGATGCTGCTGGCATCGGGAGCTGCTGCTGCCGCCGCTGGCATGGGGACAGGACCCATGGGCAGGCAGAGCTGCTGCCGGCATGTTGCTCTTGCTGCTGCCGCTTCTGCTGCCAAGTTGGGTGGAGAGTAAGGCTAAATTTAAGGCATAGGCATGTGAGTTATCTTTTTATAAGACAAAAAGAAAGTTAAAATGGTACCAGTGCTGGTAGGGTCCGGCCATTGGGTGGTCCCACAACTTTTAGATAAGAATCAAACCGGATTGAGTAAATGGCAGAAGTCACCGCTCAAATATTATCTTCAGCTAAAGACAAAGGAGGATTTTGGGGTGGGGGGGTCAGTTACATGAGGTTGCCAGACAGTAAACAACTTAAGTTCTTGCCTTCTCCATTAAGAGTTTCCAGAGATAAGGCCATCCCCCCTTCCTCCTGGCACAGAGAGGGAGGCATGGAGATTTCCTTCGCAAATGCAACTGTCTCTGATCAAAGGGCAAGCAAATTCCACTCCTCGGATCCTGCTTCTTATCTATAGTTTTAAAAGTAACCAGCCTAAAAATCCTTGTCATAAACCGTTTTAAAATTAAGCAGCCTAAAAATTCTCATCATTTTTGACCCCATCAAAACCTTTTCCCTTTTCAATGCCCCTCATTTCCTTCATGTACTCATTCCCCTCCTTAACCAGCTTTGATTCCACAGTTCATAATTTTAGTCTGTGTTTGCAGTATCAATTCCCTTATCATAGCCATGCTTTCTTTTATACTTATCCATTCTTAGAGCCAATTCTCTACATACTCCTGAAGTCGACTGTGCCCGAAGAAAATCATAGTCCTGTTTACTGGCTTAATTTTAATTTCTTGACTGTTAGCATCAAGTGAGGCCTTAGTGCTGCCCGGGAAACCTACATTTCCCTAGACCGTTCATTAGACTGCTATTTCCCATCCTATCTCACCTCAGAACTCCAACTGCTTTCTGTCCCATTCTCATTCCAGGCAACGTTTCCACTTTTATCAAAAGAAGCAATCACAAATGGCATTTCCTCACCATGTATGTGAACCATACTCTCTGAGTTCCCACCTATTGCCATGGATGAAAAGTCTACTCTTTTTTTAAAAACAACCCCTCTGCTTGATCACTACACCCCACCCCTTTCACCAGGTTACAATTCCATCATTATCTTCGTCTTTCCATCATTTCTCTCCTCTACCTCTTCAATCACTTCCATTAGCATTAGCATATAAAAATGCTATACACACATTCCCTCTTTAAAAACACAAAATAAACAAAAACCTTCTTTTGATCCACATCTTACTATAGCTACTGCTTTTTTACATAAATTTTCCTTGAAAGAGTTATATATGCTCACTGGTTGCAATTCCTGTCGTTCGTTTCCTGCCCACTTTATTGATGATTTTCCCCTCAATACTCTTCTGAAAATGCACACATCAAGATCTCCAGTGACCTACACATTACTAGATCTAAAAATCATGCCTGTGTCAGTAGTGTGCTGCTTAACATTAACAATGCCTCTTAGTGGGAGAAAAAAATCTCTAGTTCTAAAAGTCTGCTGATAAATACAAATAAATATAAATACTCCAACCATGGCCAGTTTCGAGCTTCCCACATGATGCCAATGTACACACAGAGTGAAGAAATGCATGAAATTGGCTCTCATTTGCCAAAAGAGTAGGTTCCAGTACCCAATGGATTGGTCTTAATGGATGTTCCCTTATGTACAGTATTTGATGCAACTAATCATTCAACACTTAACTCAGCACTATGGTTTCTGGAAAACTACTCTCTTCTGATGTTGCGCATATGTTGTGATTTACCCCCTCTTGCGCTTTTTTGTGGAACATGCTCATACTCTCGACTTTCGGATGTTGGAGTTTCCCATTGCTGTGTCCTGATGTCTCTTTTTCTTTCTGTCTATACTCTAACTTGAAGACTTCACCCAGGGCCTTGAAATGAAATACCCTCCATATATCCAAATACCCTGTCCAGATTTCCCTCAAAATATCTGAATTCATATATCCAATTATGAATTCAATATCTCTACCTAGATATTTGAAACTAAACATGTCCTGTACTAAACTCCAGGCCTTCTCTTCCCAAACCTACTCTAATTACAATATTTTCCATTCTTCCAGTTACTCAGTCTCAATACCCAAGTGTCATTCTTGATTCCTCTCTCTTTCTCACATCCACATTCTATTACTCTTGTGCCCACATTCCTAATCCTGTCATCTTTGTTTTCAAATTATGTTCAGAATCCACTGCATCTCACCATCTCCATTACAACCATCCTGCTCCAAGTCGTCACCACATTTCATATACATTATTTCAATTTGTCTTCTAGTCTCACTGCTTTCAACCTTTCCTCTATATTCTAAAAACAGAAACAAAAAACAAACTGCCCTTTTGACTAGCATATCCTATTATATCACTATTCACATCTGTAAAGATCTGTTCACATATTTATAATTGTTTTGCAGCTCACTTAAAGTTAAGTCTTTACGTTGCGCTACAAATTTTTGTGTGTACTGATCCTCTCAATCTTGGTAATCTCATTTGCCATCACTCTCTCCTCCACTCACCCAGCTCCAATCATGTTGCTGCTTTGTTGATTTCATTTCAGGGACTGAAACGTTTTCTCCTATATGTACACAGAGCTCACTCACTCACTTCCTTAAGATCTTTGCTCAAATGTCAAATTCTCAGTGACACATTCCTTGATCACAATTTAAAATTGCCACACGTCCCTACTATAACACTTGTCATTTTCTAGTGTAGCATAAACACACATACACACATGCACAACACACACACACAGACAGATAGATATAAATACATATTTAATTGTTTTTATCTGTCTGATCCTACCAGGTTATAAATTCCATGACATCAAATACTTTTTAAAAATTCTTTTGTTTATTGATGCATTGTGAGCATACATAAAAATACATGTACATAATAACATAAAACAGGAACTCATAAAAACTTTGTTGAAGGAATGAAAATAATAATTTACCCCTTATTGATCATTAACTACATTTCAAACACTGTGATAAATGCTATAGTTATGTTTTCTGACATAACTCTCAAGAATAAAGAACCTAGGGCACAGTATTGAGACTCAATTTTAGTTTTGCCTTCCTATCTGTGAACTTATAACAAAGCTGTGGTACTTGACCTTCTATAACTCTTTACATTAGCATATTCACAAATCCTGTATAATTGTTTCTTTATGTGTATGTGTTTATGACTGTTTTCTTTTATTGCATATTCTGTAAGCATATC